ATCATATGTGGTCTATCATATGTTTAAATCGCTATTTGGGTTAGCGCTGCACTCTCATTCTTTATCATTTATGAATACCTTTCATACACAAGCACAATTGCTTAAAGCGGAGTTCCACCTAAAAAAAAAAATAAAAAAAAGTCAGCCTATACAAAAACTGTAGCGGCTGACTTTTAAAATACAGTCACTTACCTGTCCCTCGGTCCAGCGATGTCCTCACCACCGCTGGTTTCACCAGCTGTCTTCTCTCCTTGGCACGGCATCTTCAGTGTGGGCACCCATCTGTGACAGCTTGCGGCTTCACAGCCAGGTGCCCGCTGCGCATGCGCGACAAGTGCTGTGCTTTGTGAATGGCCCCGTAGTTTTCTGGGACCTATTACATGTCCCAGAAGACAATGGGGAGGGAGGAAGGAGGACAACTTCCGCTTCCGATTGCCTGGGTGATCACAACAGAAATGGGAGCGGGTACCTGTAAAATTCGGGTACCCGCCCCCCCCTCGCTCCCCAAAGGTGCTAATCCTTAATGGGGAGCGGAGGACAAAGGCTTAAAGTGGAACTTTCCATTCTGGGTGGAGCTCCACTTTAAGTTTGTTTTTTATGAAGGACAACTTTAAGGCCTTATTCACATAGGTGTACCAATCCGTACACCCAAACAAAGGGCCATTCTAACCCATAACACCTGTGCATCCCACGAGGGTGAAGATGGCCCTCTGCTCGGGTATACGCATTGGTGCTTCCTTCTGAATGAGGCCAAAGAGCAAACACAAACTGGTTTGCAACATCTGCACTCTTTGTCTTATGGCAATGTATATTTTATGCAGTTGATGTTAGAGCTGAGCTTTATTAGTGAAAGTTGTGTGCAGAAACCTTGTATTATATGACCTTTACAATCTATGCAAGGTCATACATGTAGATTAAACTTTGAAGGATATTTCCCTTTGCAACATTGGTCTTAAGATATGTATACTTCATGTGTGACGTTTGGCATGTAAAAGGAGTGGCACACTTGGGTGAATAACAGTTATCATCTTCCTTGTGAGCTACGGAATAGCTGGAATTAGCTGGAACATGACTTATCTAATCAGGATATACAGGATTTACCAATATAAAAATGTATTAAAAATATCACATACAGTATTTCTGCACAGAAAAGGAAGGGGCCGGTAAATTACATATTTACCGGTCCCTTCCACTTCTCTCCAGTCTGACACATCCAGTTGTGTACCCCCAGCATCCAGCATGACAGGGAAACCAGCAGCCACGGAAGGGGGTCGAGACACACAGGTGGAATCAAACGTGGGCAGGGCATGGAGGGGGCTCAGTGTAGTGGGCCAGGGGGTAATTACAGAAGGATGCCCTGCATATCTCTTCCTCCAGAAGCTGAAAACCAGTGGGAGGGAGAGGGGGAGAAACTGGCTTTCAGTGGTTAGAGGGAGAGGCACACAGAGCATTGTTCTGTAATTGTATACCCCCCATGCCCCCCCCCCCCCCCCCCCCCCCGCTCGCTCGCCACACCAATCCCCCTGACATCTGGGCCTCCCTGTGTGCCTGGGCCCCCTACAGGAGGACCAGTGGTACCCCATATTGGCAGCCCTGTCAATGTAACAAGTTCAACAAGGGATGTTACATTGGTGAGACAGGAAAAAAGTACAGAAAAGAATGAATCTTCACAGACAAACCATAAGAATAAAATGAAGAGAGGTACTGCATGCCTGTGGGACATCATTTCTCACAACCAGATGGCTCTTTGGAAGACATGAATATTTTGGTTCTTAAAGTGTTACTAAACCCACAACAGTAAAATCAGTCTGTATATGCAGTAAAGCATGCTTGTTATACTCACTGTGGAACCTAAGGGGTTAATCCTCTGCATTGTGTAAAAAGGCTGTTTCATCATGTCTTCTCTGATCCTCCCCTTCTATTGCTGTCCTCAATCCATCGGCCATAGATAGAGCAGCAGTGGCAAGTCTGCACATGCTCTGTTTGGTGTGTATTGCTAGAGAGTTTTTTTGGGGAAGTTTCAAGTGATCGACAGAGGGTCAGGGGCTCTGAAGCCTCAAAGGACAGTCAGAGCAGACTGAAAACTCCTCCTACAAGATTAACCAGTGCTCGGCCGGGACCCTGATAGAAGTCACAAAACTGCTATATACTGGTGATGAGAAAAGGTATTTATCAGTTTATATTTACTAAAATAACTGCATTTCCATGTTCTCTGTACTGTGGAAGACTGGATATAGTGAATGCAGGGTCTTGAGTTTAGTAACACTTTAAGTTACAATGTAACAAAAAGACAAATTGTTTCTTGTAGTTTTTAAAACTTTAAATAAAGGTTTTTTTACATATAAAAAACTTTATTGAAAGTTTTTAAGTTACAATCTAATAAAAAGAAAAATGTTTGCACCACAGGTCATATACAGCATACAGAAAATAGCATGTAGAAAAACCCAATATCTGAATAAACCTCATAGAAACCACAGCTCATGAAATTACACAAATCAATACCAACAAAACAAGTATTATCAGCATTCCAGACATTTTGAATAATGATGCACATTTATAAAGCAATGGCTATATACCCCTCTTAAAAAATGCTCCAGCACATTTATAGTATAAAATATTGCTGCATGCTTTATAAGTGCAGTTTGTGCTTTGGAATGCAAGCTAAATCCCATTTATTCATTCAATTAATGCAATAAAAGATCCTGTGACAGCACTCTTCTTTTATCTGGGAGTGTATTCTTCAGCATTAAGCAGAGAGAAGACTGCAGGGCATCGTGTGGAGTATTTTCCATCTATGCCAAAATGATTCAGGCACTGAAGCTTTTTTATTACTAATCTGAGGTTGCTCAGGCACTTACAATGAAAGCAAATCCACTCATTCAGAAATCACTTTAGGTAGAAATATGTAAAAGTGCACCTCTAGGCAAAATAATTTTTTGATTTCGATAAAGTGTGTGTGTGTGTGTGTGTGTGTGTGTGTGTGGGGGGGGGGGGGGGGGGGTTAGGCCCTCTTTCCAGTTTTTTATTGTTTTTTTTCATAGGGATCACTAAAGGCTGTTCTATCTTTACAAGAAACAAATACACAGAAATAACACAGAATGAACACATAAATTCTTTGGTACAGGATCTCAGGATATATCCACCTTGTGTTAGTTAAAGCAAGGGAAATAGAAAAACGGGGCCTATGATACTCTAGGATACATATACATTTGAAGAAAAAAAATACAAACATTCAACAAATCACAAAAATATTAACCCTTTATACCTTACAAAAAGTATCAGCAGGGTCCAGCTAACAGATTAATATTAAAGTGTTTGTATGTCGGCACAGGGCCAATCATCACTGTCAAGACAGAGGGTCAGGAGTTATGCAGCCTCAAAGGACAGTCAGAGCAGACTGAAAACTCCTCCTACAAGATTAACCAGTGCTCGGACGAACACTGATAGAAGTCACAAAACTGCTATATACTGTTTCATTATATTTAATTAAATAATTGTATTTCCATGTTCTGTGTACTGTGGGAGACTGGATATAGTGAATGCAGGGTCCTGGGTTTAGTAGCATTTTAAAGGCAAGGTTAAAAATACTCAGGAAAGAAAACCTTTGAACTGTGAATGGTCATTTTGTTTGACTCAAGAGATGTGAGCTTTTTTCAGAGATTGTTGTTAACGTTTTGAGCGTCAGTGCTACTTGGGCTGAGAAGAATCAAACACCTCAAAATCTTATCCTGAAAAGTAATCTATTAGTGCAAGTAAAAGCAGTATCACAGACAGTGCTCAGTTGTTTGTTTGGATAAAACTGTGGTGACATTACTCATTTCTATGAAAGATACTCTCCAATGCTTACTTTTTTCATGCATACAAACACTTTAATATTAATCTGTTAGCTGGACCCTGCTGATACTTTTTGTAAGGTATAAAGGGTTAATATTTTTGTGATTTGTTGAATGTTTGTTTTTTTTCTTTTTTCGTTAAATGCATATGTATCCTAGAGTATCATATGCCTAATTTCTCTATTTCCCTTGCTTTAACTAACCCAAGGTGGATAGATCCTGAGATCCTGTACCAAAGATTTTATGCGGTTATTCTGTGTTATTTCTGTGTATTTATTTCTTGTAAAGATAGAACAGCCTTTATTGATCCCTGTGGAAAAAAAACAATAAAAACTGGAAAGAGGGCCTAACCCCCCCCCCCCCCCCACACACACACACACACTTTATCCAAATCAAAAAAAAAAATATTTTGCCTAGAGGTGCACTTTTACATATTTTTACCTAGAGTGATTTCTGAATGAGTGGATTTGCTTTCATTGTAAGTGCCTGAGCAACCTCAGATTAGTAATAAAAAAGCTTCAGTGCCTGAATCATTTTGGCATAGATGGAAATACTCCACACGATGCCCTGCAGTCTTCTCTCTGCTTAATGCTGAAGAATACACTCCCAGATAAAAGAAGAGTGCTGTCACAGCATCTTTTATTGCATTAATTGAATGAATAAATGGGATTTTGATTGCATTCCAAAGCACAAACTGCACTTATAAAGCATGCAGCAATATTTTATACTATAAATGTGCTGGAGCATTTTTTAAGAGGGGTATAGCCACTGCTTTATAAATGTGCATCATTATTCAAAATGTCTGGAATGCTGATAATACTTGTTTTGTTGGTATGATTTGTGTAATGTCATGAGCTGTGGTTTCTATGAGGTTTATTCAGATATTGGGTTTTTCTACATGTTATTTTCTGTATGCTGTATATGACCTGTGGTGCAAATATTTGTCTTTTTGTTAGATTGTAACTTAAAAATTTTCTATAAAGTTTTTTTGTAAGTAAAAAAAAGTACAAGGACCGTACATTCACTATATCTGGTCTCCCACAGTACACAGAGTATGGAAATGCAATTATTTTAGTAAATATAAACTGCTAAATACCTTTTCTCATCAGTAGTTAGAGCAGTCTTGTGACTTCAGCTGAGCACTGGTTAAAGCTTATAGGAGGAGTTTTCTCTAGGAGGATGGAAATTCCCTGACCTCTGTATGGACAGTGCTGATTGGCTCTGTGCTGATCACATGCACTCTCCCAAGAAAAAAAACCCTCTCTAGCAATACACGCTAAACCGAGCATGTGCAGAAGGGCACAGGTTCATCAGCGTGGGCATTTGAAGAAGAGGAGGGGCAGAGAAGAAAAGATCAAACAGTCTTTTTACACAATGCCTTGCCACTGCTGCTCTATCTATGGCAGATGGATTGGGGACAGCAAAAGAAGGGGAGGATCAGAGAAGACAGGATGAAACAGCCTTTTTACACTTTGCAGAGGATTAACTCCTTAGGTTGCATAGTGAGTATAACAAGCATGCTTTACTGCATATACAGACTGATTTTACTGTTGTGGGTTTAGTAACAGTTTAAAAATATTTCTGTAATTGTTTTTTTAACGCTAAAAAACTTGTTTTTAATTTTTTAAAGTAGAATATATCAAGTAGTACCACAGATCAAGTGTCATAAATTAGTACAATGCAAGCAAAGATATATAATTTTTAAGAACCTCACAGAAAGTACAAATTAGTGGTTGAATCAGGCAACAAAAAAATGGTAGCATAACATCTCAACAGAAAGGCCTTTAAGGCCTATACAGTAAATGAAGAGGGAACGTGGGGGGAAAAAATGAAGTTTTTTACTATAACAAAAAATGGGCCCCATTGAGTACACAAAATGACTGCAGATTGCCACACTGCAAATAAGCTACAGTACACTTGAATTTCTAGAGAATTTTAGAAATAACACAGCTGTCGACTGAAATGGAAAGCTAATTTTAATTAAATTCTAAAAAAGGTGCAGCAATTATATAATATAATTTTTATTTTTGAAGTGGAAACTGTAATTTTTTTCAATTCCAAATGGCATTCCAGGCTGTCTTACATGTCTATTCCCCCATTATACCCCAACTCCAGGCTATGTGTGAGAAATGTCAGCACATTGGCATTATTGGTGACAAGGGGGTGAAATATCACTGCACAGGACTATTTGCATCAACATTGCAAGTGCATTGCTAACATTATTTGGGCATTGTTCTAATTCTCTATATCAGGCAACACATAGTCTATTCAGTGAAAAAGAGTTCACCATGCTATTCTCATCACTTGTCAAACCTTCCTACACTTCTTCCCCCCTGGCTGTGCTTCCCAAACAAAAGGATGAACTAGCTGGTCAAGCAATGGGTACAGGGGCGGACTGACCATTTGGAAACTCGGGCACTGTCAGAGGGCCCAGGGTCAGTAGGGGGCCCCATGAGATGCCCCTGGTACCTTTTTCATAGGCTTTTTTGAGTTTGGGCAATGACACAGGGGCCCCATGATCCCATATTGCCCGGGGGCCCCATGAGTTGTCAGTCCGCCCCTGAATGGGTACTTTGACTTCTGGAACAGCAAGCAACAGTTTATGTCATTATAACAGCCACCACCTCAAGGGGACTAACATACTTATGAGATCCATCCATGAGACCCCACTGACTAACACAGCAGTAGACTGCCACTTGCCTGCAGCAGCTTCTGCAGGGGTGGATGGGCCATAGAAAGCAAGCACTGTTCTTTGACACATATACACACTTCAGCAGGCAGCCACAAAAGTTAAAGTGACCACGCTGAACTGGCTTAAAACAAAAAAGAAATATTAAGTAATTGTCTGTAGATAGCAATCATATCTCACCAACAGTATAAGGAGAAGGATTATTTCTGATGGTTGCTAAAATGAATTATACAAGCTCAACTCAAGAGTTGCATGTAATGCAACTGATCTGGGTCCTACTTAAAAACAACAAAACAGAGGTAAATAAGGGATCAAAAGCAAAACTGGCTGCATCAGCACTGGCCAAAATCCTTGATATGAGATCGGCTGGTCTATGAGAAGACATTGTGCTTTATCCAGTGTTCGTTGCCCTATTAAAAACTTCCAAACTTTACTATTAGATTTTTCCAATCCCACCTGGGAACTCTTGATAATTTAAAGATAACGGTATTATGTTTGGCCTGATACATTTATGTGCCATTAATGACTGTACCCAGGTACTTTTGTATTGTTTGAAAATAACATGGCATATTCTGGAATTCTCCTTTAAATAAAGACCTGCATTCTAAAGAATAAACATATTAAGGTGTGGTGCTATCCTCAAATATGCAGTCCAAAGCTTCAGACAATTAACTGTACAACAAAGCAAACCCAGCAAAATTAAGCAACATGCACTGGTCAAAGTAGTCTGTTCAAAGCACAATCAGTGATACAAAGGTTTCCTTTGTTCAGTGATCTAACAAATATATGTTCACGGTAATATTTGCAGGTAATAAAACAGTGCTGTGGGTATAAGGTGAGACGACTGTTGGGTAGCGATGGGTAGTCTAAAGAGATATGTCACTTATTTCTAGGACTGTCACTCTCTCTTATTATCTTCACTCTATTTCTTCATATTTCATAATTTTCTAATTAAGAATCACATAATACATATTGCTCATAGTTAATTATTTATTATACAGAATTTATATAGCGTCAACAATTTATGCAGCACTTTGCAATATAAAAGGGGATATTACAATTACAATACAGTTCAATACAGAAGGAATATGAGATCACTTCACAGTCAATGGACAACAATATCCCAGCCTTGTCAGACAACAAATGTAGTGCTTTTTGTAAGAAGATTCTATTATCTGACAATATTAGTGCAGATATGGTCCAGCTTTTTATTTGAACCTTTTAGGTATGTACAGGGTGCAGTGGTTTACTGTAGGGATGGGGATGGCTTCCTTCTGTTACAAGGCTGACAGGAGTAGTGACAGTGGCAGTGATTTTGACAAGAGAGTGACTGCAGGGGCGTAGGATCTCCTAAGCTTGCACATCATGAATGAAGTTGGAGGGGGCGCAGTTTGGTATCTTTGCCCTGGGTGCTGGATGACCTTGTCCCGGGACTTTATATACAGTATATCTGTTCCAGGGGCGGACTGACCATTTGGAAAACTCGGGCACTGCCCGACGGCCCAGGGTCAGTAGGGGGCCCCATGAGATGCCCCTGGTACCCTTTTCATAGGCTTTTTTGAGTTTGGGCAAGGACACAGGGGCCCCATGATCCTCTATTGCCCGGGGGCCCCATGAGTTGTCAGTCCACCCCTAATCCGTTCAGTTGTATCCGACTGTTGGTGATGCTATGGGCTAACTCCCTGGCACCATGACAGCTTTAAAGCTTTATTTCCATATAATTTTCATGGCAATTTTTTTATGAGGTACTGTAGGTGGCCAGGTCTTTCCTCAACCCTCCCCAATTGGGCTTGGCAATGGTATGCAAAGCCAATTTGTACAAACATACTGGGAACAATTTTGGACAATAGCCATTTAACATACCAGTATTTCTTTCTAGTGTGGCATGCAAACAGAGTAAGAGCATGCAACCTCAATGCACTAAAATGGGAGCACTCAGAATCTGGCGCAGCTCTGCATGGTAGCCAATTTGCTTCTAACTTCAACTTGTTCATTTATGCTTTGGTAATAAAACATGGAAGCTGACTGGTTTCTATGCAGAGCTGCACCAGATTTTGCATGCTCCCATTTTAGTAAAAAACCCACAGAGTGTGCTGGCTGAGATTTGAAACACGGATCCACCTCAGTGCTTCAAGACATAAATGCTAATCACTAAGCTGTGTTCCACCTGTTTTAATCTTATCAAGAAAAAGGAACAAGCAGTGCCATCTGAGTGTAGTATGTTGGTTAAAACACTTTAATGCACAAAAAATTGCAACTCACATTGGTAAAATGTGTATCAAGCTGTGTCAATCAATGTCCCCACTGCTACATGCAGATCTGGTCCTGCTGTGTTTTATGTGCCTATGATGATACTCAGCCTTGGCAATGCTGGTGGATGCCAGGGCTCCCCGGCTGGCATGGATACACTGCATTGACTGTGGTGTAGATTCCGGAAGTTGTGGCAGGAGACATGGCGCTCATTCGGAGCATGCATGGTCCTTCATCAGGATATGTGGTGGCCATGTTGGTTTCAGTATTTATGGGCAGCAGGGCTGGCGGACATCGCACCCAGCAAGCCAGCATCACTGCACACAAGAAGGCTCGCCACACAAGGAAAACAGCTTCAAATTACTACAACTTATTACACTATTATTATTATTATACAGGATTTATATAGCGCCAACAGTTTGCTCAGTGCTTTACAATGTAAAGGGAGGACTATACAGCAATGATACAGTTCAATACAAGAGGGTTAGGAGGGCCCTGCTCCTTGGAGCTTACAATTTAAAAAGGAGAGGCTGGTGGTACAAAAGGTAATAACTGTGAGGGATAAACTGATAGGAGAGATAGAAGATGGAGGAAGTGGAGAGGAGGAGACCGAGTTATAGGTAACGCTGAAGGAGTGCTACGATAGGTAGGAGGAGAACCAGGGGAGAGCAGAGTCTCGAAGATATTAATGGTCCTATGCAGGGGCGGACTGACCACTTGAAAACTTGGGCACTGCCCAAGGGCCCGGGGTCAGTAGGGGGCCCCATGAGATGCCCCTGGTACCTTTTCCATAGGATTTTTTGGGTTTGGGCACAGACACAGGGGCCCCATGATCCCCTGCTCCTGACCCCTGAAATCTGCATTACATACTCCTGATCCCTGCACTCTGTGTGTTATGTATGTAGCACCCTCCTAGTTAGCCAGGGGGAGCTAGCTAATTATTTTTTTTTAGATGGAAGGCTGAGTAGCAGTCTGGGTGATAGTCAGAGGGGTCAGATTCGGGTCAGGGCTGAGAGGCTCTGCAGATCAGCTCACTGTTACCTCCTCCTGATCTAGAGACTTGGGGAAGTCTCTAGCAGTCAGTGAGCGGGGGTGTGAGGTGGGGCTGCTCTGCATACTTAGAGGATCTCAGCCAATCCCCAGGCAGGAGGCTTGGCATGGGGTTGGTACAGCCTTTAGGTATGTTTGAGCCTACTCGGCAGCAGGAGAGTTCAGGTGTAGATAAATAAATAAGAAAGAAAACCAGAGAAAAACAAAGGACATATATATAAATTAAGTATGAATCATAACCCACTTTACTTAGAACAAAATAAATAACAGCTAGAGGCTAGAGTTCCACTTTGCTGTTGTTTTTTACATATTATGTCACATGGTCTGGGCTTGTAAACAGTGGCAAGAAAAAGTATTTGAACCCCCTTTGAAAGAGTATGTGAGCCCCTTGCAATTAACTGGTTTTTTGGCATAATTTGCCATAAAATTTGATCTGATCCTCATCTACTGTAAGTCACAACAAAAGACAAAGACAATGTCCTTCAGCTGTTAACACACAAATAAATCTATACTAGATAAGGGTGTATATTTCCCTACCTTACCTAAGGTACACAAACATAAAGAAAAACCTCC